GTTAGAATACAATAGTTGGCAGTGCCAGTGGAGATTTCTCCACACTATTTAGCATGGATCTGGAAATTGAGTGATGTCTCTTTATGTGTAGGTACAGGTTAACATTGTCATGCCACCCTACAAGTTCAAAATCCTCATAATGCAATACTTATTCTATGAGCAAGATATGGACAGACTAAGAGCCCTTTCAGATGGGCGGTCCAATCAGGTCCACCTGTCAGTTTTCCACACGGATCTTATCGGAAGGCCAGTGTTAGTTTATGGGCAGATAGGCCAGTGTTAGTTTATGGGCAGATGGATCTAAACGGACCTGCGTCCGTTTACATCTGATTACCCCTGACTCACGCCAGGTCCGGAAAACCAAACGGAACAGAGATCCGTTTTGGCAGAGCCGATCATGGTGGACTGGAGGTAATCTGATGTAAACAGATACATGTCCATCTACATCTGACTCCCTATAGACCTAACATGGATCCGGTAAGTTCAGTTATATCCTCCATCTCAAAATGGAGGAAAAAAATGGACAGACAAGGATGTCACCCCACCCCAGTGACATCCCTTCCGAACTGCTCTGATCAGCAGGAGATCCATGCATACGTCCCCTGCTGATCCGAACTGGCAGATACCCGTGTGCAAGTGGCAGGGCATTCTTTAATATTGATTGGACCCTTGGCAAACACTTTCTTGGAACCCCCCACCACACCCACTACCCACCCCACCCTCACCATTCAATTTTGGCTATACATACACCCATACGGCAGGAGCAGAGCAACAATGATTGCATAGTAAGCAGAATGGTGCCGCGTGTGTATCTTTTGCGGGTTCAAGGGCAGGCAAGGATTTTTGCATATACAGGAGAAGGGGCATTTTTGAGCCCCCTATGCTGCCTTACCCTAGCACTGACTAGCATGTAGTGACCCCCATAATATGTACACGGACAGCATATAGTGACCCCCATCATATGTACACAGAAAGCATGGAGTGACCCCCATAATATGTACACGGACAGCATATAGTGACCCCCATCATATGTACACAGAAAGCATGTAGTGACCCCCTTCATATGTACACTGAAAGCATGGAGTGACCCCCATCATCATATGTACACAGAAAGCATGGAGTGACCCCCATCATATGTACACAGAAAGCATGGAGTGACCCCCATCATCATATGTACACAGAAAGCATGGAGTGACCCCCATCATATGTACACAGAAAGCATGGAGTGACCCCCATCATATATACGCAGAAAGCATGTAGTGGCCCCAATCATATACACACAGGAAGCATGCAGTGACCCCAATCATATGCACACAGGAAGCATGCAGTGACCCCAATCATATACACACAGGAAGCATACAGTGACCCCCTTCATATGTACACAACAGCACATAGCGATCCCAACATATACACCATGTAGTAACCCCATCACTAATAGACAAGCAGCATGTAGTGACCCCTCTCCCAGGCAGTCAGTATACCCTATGATACCCATGTAGCATGCAGCAGCCAGTACAGGCACGCAGTGCCTCCCCATCAGACACACAAAATCCATGCTGCCCCGATCAGGGCTGTAGTCCCCTCACCTGGCAGGCTTAATTTCCGCCGATCCAGTTGCGAAGGCCAGTGAACACAGGGCAGTGAGCAGAGCTGCCTCCTCCACACATACAAACAGCATGGACAGGGGCAGACCAGGAGGAGAAGGGTGTCCACCCAGCTCATCTCTCCAGAGCACAGGCTATACTCTGCGATCATCTAGTGCTCTGCATCCTCCTGGAATGCTCTGCTGTTGGTGCTGAGATGCAGGGCCAGTGCAGGGATTTATGCAGTGCTGGCCCTGCACAAGGGGCAGCTGCTTTGGACCCCACAACAATGACTGGGCCCAGGGCAGCTGCCCCTTTTGCCCTGCATTAAAGACGGCCCTGGCAAGAGGCCTGAGCAGATAGTCCAACTACTGACCTGGAGAGGCAGATGTAAAAATAACAATTTGTGGCAAATCATTTACATTGTTAAATTTGATGATTTGTAACAAAGTGAATATTGCAAATGTCATTAATCTTTCAGTGATCAGACCATCACAGCAGTATATAGCAAAGAAAAGTGAGAATATTAATGTAGTATCCTGTCTAGGAACACAGTACATGGGAGTGCTCATTTATTCAATGCTTATATAACTCAATGGTTCTGGAATTTCCTGGAGTGTTTCGAATTTCAGTAGCTGCGGAGGTCATTTCATCATACATAATTGGATTGTGGGCATCTCAGTGGGTGTTAAAACACACAGAGCAGAACAATAATCCTCCTACTGCTTTTGATCCCTCACAGAGCCCCCTTGCAACTATAGACTTCTCATCCTGCTGCTTACACTGCTTGAGAGACCAAAGCCTGACTATTGATATATAATTATGACCTTATAATACCATTATTTGTATATACTGATGTCAGGATACGAGAGATCACCTACAGGGGGAGCTGCAAGTGTAATCTAATATAGTTCCAGGTTACAGTAAAACGTGCCAGCTATGGGAATGGGGTTGTCTCCTCTGTGTTTCTGTTCATTTGAGTTCTGGCTACAGAATTCCCTTGTATCAGACAGCATTTGAGCCATTCAGATGAATACATTTTATCTGTCCACTCTTTGAGGGGCACTTTGGAAGAGTCAGGCCTGCCTGCCAAGCACACATTTATGTGGCCACCCAAACGCAGTAAGCATAGCAATTTTATCACCTACAGTGGAAAGCACACTGCTATTTATAGTAAAATTGCCATTACAAATAAAAATGAATCCTCTTTTTGAAGCTTGTGTTTCATTTATTGTGGCCTTTAATTTTGGGAGGAGCACCAAAGGCAGGGGTGCCCACAATTTTTTGTGTTAAGATCTACTTTTCAAATGAAGAGCTCAATGAGCAAACACATTAATATGCTTACTGGGACTACTGCATGTATCTTCCTATTGAATAAACCTAATAATTTGAATGCAGATGTTCAATTTTAACAATAAACTCAAAATGCTCACAGCACAATAGATCTCTCTCTCTCTTCTGGTTGCCTCTACTCTCTCTCTCTCCTGGCTGTCTCTCCTCGCTCTCTCCCCTTGTTGTCTCTCAACGTTCTCTCCCTTGGCTGTTTCTCCTCATTGTTTCCCCTGGCTGTCTCTCCTCGCTCTCTACCCTGGCTGTCTCTCCTCGCTTTCTTCCCTGGCTTTCTCTTCTTCAACTCTCCTCGTGCTCTCCCCTCTCCTGGCTGTCTCTCCTCACGCTCTCTCTCTCCTTCCTGTCTTTCCCATTGCACTTCTGTCAGCTGTGCCTGCACTGGTGTGTTGGAGGGCCGCAACCTGGGAGCTGCCCTGTCACACAACATCTTCACCATCAGAGCCTCCAAAGAAGAACTCCTGTAGTGACTCTGAGCCATGAAAGCATACCTCCCAACTTTTTGAGATGAAAAAGAGGGACATATTTTAGCACAATGTATTTAGGCAGTGGACGCACCCCTGCTATGGTCCCAGTTATGCGGATCATTAAGCAGTTATATATCCAAATTGATTGGTTAAACCCAGGATTGTTTTATTTCCACCATTACTTTTCCTAGATAGTTAAGAGATGGGATAAAGGTTTTAGCGCAGAATGACACTTTTGGTAGTTAATTAGAACCTTTTCATACATATCTGTACATAACACCAAAAAGAGGGACAACTGAGGAGGAAAGACAGAGGAATTTGGTTCCAAATGAAGGACAGTTGGGTGGTATGTGACAGCCATTGGAACGCTATGACAGCCACCTTTTGGTGTCTGCATTGAACATGTATTAATTTGCATTTTGTTTGCAGAGTACATGGTCCTGTTATAGAAACAAGCTGCTTTCAAAAATAAACAGCAGCAGCGAAAAACAACTAGAGCTACTTGCCCAAGCTACCGTCACGATTTAAAAGCTTAAAAAAAAAGGAATAGCAGCATTGTTGTAAACATGGATCAATTTTACAAAATTTGGGGAGCAAGGTAACCCTGGTCCACCTCACTGAAGCCAGGCAGATCACAATCCTTAGTGACCTGCTGAAGCTGGTCCACCAAGTACTTGGTAAAGGTAAAGAAAATTCATGGTGGCCACAACATCTCAGGTTGCTAAGTACTCTTAGCAATCTTTGAGCTGTGCGTGAAGCTGGACGCAGCGTCATTGTCATCATCGATTGTCAAGGATCTGAGCAGGACGCGCTGGGTGGCATCCCGCTGAACCCCTAGCAACCAGTAAGATCAGTGAGCTGGGCAGGACTGGACAGAGCCGCTGACAGCCACGGCTTTATGTCTGGTCCCACAGCGGCCCATCCACCGCATCCAACGACCACCTGCACGCCGCTCTAAGGTCTCAGGTGGTATTCAGGATGGGGACGGCCCTGGGCTCATGCACAAGGGCGCCTGGGGCTATACAGTATAAATGCCTGTGTACAACCGCATACAGCCATTGATGTCTATGGGTGGCTGTACTGGCCCAAAATTGCATTATTCTGCCCCAGGAGTCCGCAGGCGTGACACTTATGCCAGCGTGATCCAGCGCAGATGTCATTATTTTATTACACCTGTGTGCATGAGCCCTTATAGGGGCTGCAAGACAGAAATGTTGGGGTGCGCCAGCTAGAACCTGATTGGTTACAAGAGTTTTAATAACCACGCCCAGTGTGTGAAGTGTGTGTAAGTTGTATATGGAAGGGGCAGCGCATTGAATGGGGTGTATGGAATGAGAGGTGAGGACGGGGGACTGACTGTCAGCTGGCTCCAGGGATGACGCTCGCCTATACCGCGGCTGGGTGAGATTTCGGAGAGATCCTGTGTCTGCTCTCCTATTGGTCGGGCGGTGAGGGGCGGGCGGACACACCCTGCTCTCTCTCCCAGCCGATCGATCTCCTTCACCTCCCCAGAAGTTGTCTCGGCGCCTCCGTGTCCTTGCCGCCCCTCGCTCTCACTTTTCTTCCCCCCTTCCATCAACCGGGCGGAACCGAACCGAGTCCAGATCGGCTACTGACGTCGCCATGTCCACCTCGGATGATGTGGACGGGATGGTCCGTCCTCACTATGGCTGTAAGTTGTGGCTGACCTGTGCCGTGGCGGTGTATGTTTCTCCCGGGGGTGTCATGGAGAGGTGGGGTGGGGTGTGATGCAGGCTCTGCGCTTCCTGCCACGGAGCTGTCGTTGTGGGGGGCGTGTGTGACATGCTGAGCTCAGACCAGGACACAGCATGGAAACTTTATAAAGTGTGTACTGGGTTCGATTCTGGAAGAAGGACCGCCAAGAGGCTTCCTGTGACCTGTTCAGGGGCGCTGGGACTTGTAGTCCACCAGCTTCCTAGCGCCATCCCAGTCTGGCTGCTCTGTTTGGCTGGCCTGCCATGTCCTTATCGGGGAGATGGGGGTAAGGAGGCGATGCCACTACAGCATCCACTCCAACCAGGGTTCCTTGGAGTCCTAGGGTTAATGCAGCCCTCCATCTGTTGTGGAACTACAAGTCCCATGAGGCATTTCAAGACTGACAGTTACAGGTGTGACTCGCAGAGGCATGTTGGGATTTGTAGTTAAAGGAGGACTGCTTACCCCTGCTGCAGAGGTTGCATGGGGTTCCTTGAGCAGTGGTGGATTGACATCCCGTCTGTATAGTTTGGGAGACCCATCTGATGGTGTCTGTATAGTTTGGGAGACCAACATCACTTGGCAAAGCCATTAGCATGACCCCGATTGTGTTTTCTTGGTAAGCCAATCCATGCTTAACAGTGTGCATGGGGAAACCCCAGGTGTGCCAGTGTCAGAATACCCAAACAGTGGAAGCAGTCAGTGTTCGGCCAAGAATTTTTGGCCCAGCCCCTTCAATGAAAGTTAATACTGACTGATGCCAAGTGTAACATTGGTCATGAAGCTGGCCATGTATGTGCGAGAACTGTGTTTTAATCAGATTCTCCACCCAGCATGCCAAACTAATGCACCAGCCATGACTGTAATGGAGTGTGCCAGGGCGTAGCTATCAGTATAGAGCTGTATAAAAATTGCTGGTGATGCTGGTTTCTTGGCATGGTTGGTTGTAAACCCCATACAGACCAATTCCTGTTCAATGAGCACAAATAGAATGAATGAACTACCACACAATGGTGGAAGAAAGGTTGAGGCAGATCAAGCCCATGGAGGTTATTAGATTATTATTATTTAGATCACATTATCCAGCCACTCTCAACCTTCTAACTCCAGAGCAGTGCTTAAAATAATGTTCAGATCTTGGGGAACCCTTGCTACAATGAGTTCATCAGGGGTCATTGTGAAAGTGCTACTTACATAGATGGTCAGTTTGAAGTATGCACTCACCCTTTTCGGCGGTGCTCGGCATGCCCCCCCCACCATTTCCAGGTGTGCTCGGTATGCCCTTCTTACCTATGTCTATATAAGATCATCGGTGGCATTAGATCTAGAACTATACAAGCACCATCAGATGTGAGGCCAATCAGCCACAGCTCATGGAACCCCTAGCCAACTCTGGAACTATGGATCTTCTAATCATTGAATAGATCTGCACATCTGTGTCCAGCTTTAGTATGATCTGGAATAAGACATCTGGTTAAAGAAAAGTCCCATCTGTGCTCACTATCTGGCTCTGAGTACAGACATTTTGGCCCAAATATGGACATTTTTAGTCTGACGGATGAAATTGATGTGACTCTACAGAGCATCCATATAGAAGTGATTCTGTAGTCTGTCTGTAGAATAGTCCGAGCTGTGTTTATGAAGAATGTATATACAAAGGATGTGTCCTTGTACAAACACTCATGGCACAGGGAAGTATCAATGCGTGTCCTCTGGGGTGTTTTCTTTTTGTATACTATAATAAATGTAACCAGTGTTGAAATGGAATTTCACATCACCCATCTGAGAGTTTTGGTATGTCGCTGCTCTACCGCCGCATGTAATGTATGGGTTTATATCTAAGAAATGCTTATTTGAAGCTGAGAAAGTTGTTTACTGGTTCAGTCCTGTAGTCTTAGAGCCTTGAGGCCTAGCTACACTTGTCCTAGCCTGTTCCTAAACTAGTAAAGCTGCCGGAGTTGATAAAATATTTGTAGTTGGGCAATAAGATGGCTATGGAAACCTGCAGCTTTCAAGTCTGCTGGGGAGATGTTGAAACACATGGTTTGGGTTACACCCAGGCTGTGGTAGAGAAGTCAGTGGAACATGCTCCTCACCACTTCTAGGTCTACGTCTAATCGCTGCTTAGCTTCAGGTTGGAGAGGCGATGTGTTCATTGTGAGAAGGTTAAACGACTTTAATCATACACAGAGACAATCCTACAACAGTGAGGGGAGTCTTAAGATTTAGAATTTCCCTGCCGGAGATGTCAGTAAAGCTCATAATAACCTAGAGGCTAAATAAACCAGTATAGTCCTACAGGGCCACATGCCACCACTTGTTCTGTGCTGACACTAGAATCCTCTTTGATATTAGGAGGCTTGTAGTTCAGGTTGGTAAAATCAGTTTGACTAATCGGTTATATGTGACCCTACTGTAAGGCCCCATTCACACACGAATCGGCCTGCACGTACAGCTCCGTGCTGCATGCGGGACCGCACCAAGTAGCTGCCGGGAAGGACAGGTGCTGCGTTTGATTAGAACGCAGCCCTCGTCCTTCCCCATGGGGCTACGCGGCCGTACGCCCCCCTACGCTCCCCTCATTTGCAGGTCCGTAGGGGTGCGGGTTTTCTGGTCAGGACGCATACATGTTCCATTCTGGCGGCGTATGGATACGATCACCCGCACCCCTACGGACCTGCAAATGAGGTGAGCGTAGGGGGGCGTACGGCTGCGTAGCCCCATAGAGAAGGACGGGGGCTGCGTTCTAATCACACGCAGCACCGGTCCTTCCCCGCAGCTACTTGGTACGGCCCCGCACGCAGCACAAACTGTACGTGCAGGCCGATTCGTGTGTGAATGAGGCATAAGGGTTAATCAAATTTCTGCCTGGAGTTTTTTTTTAAATATATTCCACAGTATCCACCTAGGATATAAATCTTTGTGGGCACCAAATGCCTTTGCAAACCCAATTGTTACCTTCTAAAAAGTAAGTGACATTATCATTGTATTGTACATAGCGAGAGAGCAGAGCTGTGGGAGGGACCCAGCAGGCTCCACCCACTACAGGCGGCCTGTAGAAGACTACAGGAAGGGGGCGGAGATGAGACCAGTCACTCTGCACAAGGAGAGAGAGCAGCAATGACAGGCCTTTTAAAACAAGAATTTCGTGCACAAAGTTTCTTTCTGGATTACTGCACAGATCTGGAAGAAACGCACAAAGATTCCAGTCAGAATAGACCCGGGTCTTGTATTTAGACAACGTTTGCTTATCCCAGAGTTCACAGGTTAAGTTTTCATGGATCACTATAGGACTTATTATGGGTCAGTTGTAATACATATTTCCCGGTTAGTAGGCAACAGAAGCTCCATGTGTTTTTGTTTTTTTCCCCAATACTGTGGAACATGTTGATGTTATTAGTAGGGCTGCAACAAATAATCCACTTAATCGATAATAATCAATAATGAGAATCATTGTCAACAATTCCTATTATCGATTAGTTGTTATATGGGCTCTGTGCCCCCTCTGTTCTTTGCTGATCCCAGCAGTGATAAGAGTGGGCACAGACTCCTGCATCCGGTGCTCAGCGGTGAGGAGCGCTCCAAAACGTACTCTCCCGCCCCACGACCTAACAGATATACTCACCAGAGCTGCATACCCGGCTGGCTCCTAGACCGTTCCTTTTGAAGAGCATGGCTGAAGGGGTCAGTCTAGGAGCAAGCCAGGATCCTGGTTTAGGTGCGTATATCTGGTATTTTTTTAGCTCCCTAGGCAAAACGAGCACTTAACCCTTGCAGTGAAGGGGTAGTCCCACTGCAAGGCTTAAGATTTGATTTGCCTGGAGTTCTTCTTTAAACATTTAGTTCGGATGCTGGAGAGTTATACCCTCTGTCAATATCTTCTCAGAGACACTATTGGTGAGATCCTAGGTCTGTGTAGCTACTGTGGCTGTTATGAGGAAGTCCCATATGTTGGATTTTTAAATACATTTTATATTTTGGAGAGGACCTGGAATACACCTAGGTGGGTGAGAGCACCCAAAACTGCCTAATAGACAGAAACAGAGTCAGGAACTATTACAGGGAGATCTTCCTGATGGAGTATCCAAGACTTAAGGAAGTCAGGGACTAGCTCAGCCCATTAGGCTCCCCTGTAACTAAAATGCCACTTTTGGGAGGACTGGTCATTGAAAGTCTATAACTGGGGTAGGCAACCTCGGCACTCCAGTTGTTTTGGAACTACAAGTCCCATGAGGCATTGTAGGCCTATGACAGCCACAGGCATTACTGTCAGGAGCAGAGGTATAATGGGACTTGTAGTATCACAGTTGGAGTGTCAAGCCTGCCTACCTCTGGTGTAATACAATGGACATTCTATTGTGTTTCCTTTTCCTTTTTTATTCAATGATAAATCCAAATGGTTTCATTTATTTGTTGGCACTCCCTGATAGATATAATTATAAACATTGCTGTGCAAAGTATAGAAAATATGCCAGTGGAACAGGCAGCTATATGCATGGATTTGATACAGCGGATACATTGTGTCGGGAAGATGTCCCATTTCGTAGGGTCTTGGCACGGGATTAGAAGCAGTTCTTCAATATCCATTTCTGGGGGATGTGGATTTTCTTAAAGTTCATTAGTTCTGAACATATGTTCATGTGACAGTCGGGGAACAGTATCATAATGTGTAACAGTCCTTTCTGGAATACGCCATTGTGAAAACACTGCTGTAGGCTGATGTCACACTGGCTTTTCAAATGAATTTTCTACATTAAAATGGCACTCCAGTCACTTATTAAAATGCTGTTTTAGGCAAAGTGGGTAAGGCAGGGCTGGACAAGTCCCAGGAGCCAATGCGCCTTAAAAATGACAGTTGGGCCCAACTATTGAGGTCTTCACTAGTTCTTGTCAATGAAGCTGGCTCCTGGGTTGGACAGACTGGTTCCTGAATTCTGTATTAATTTGTCCACCTCG